GCTGAAGGGACAGTTCCCGCCGCCAAACTTGCCCCGCGGCGGGAGGGCGGGTGGAGGGCCCCCGAGCCAGCGGGGGCACGTGAGCGATGGAGACCATCTGGATCTACCAGTTCCGCCTCATCGTGATCGGGGACTCCACGGTGGGCAAGTCGTGCCTCCTGCACCGCTTCACCCAGGGCCGCTTCCCCGGGCTGCGCTCCCCCGCCTGCGACCCCACGGTCGGCGTGGACTTCTTCTCCCGCCTGCTGGAGATCGAGCCGGGCAAGCGGATCAAGCTGCAGCTGTGGGACACGGCGGGGCAGGAGCGCTTCAGGTAGGGCCGCCGGGACCCCGGGGCACCCTGGGGACCGCCCCTTCCCCCGCGGTCGGTCGCCCCGCCCGGCTCGGAGGAGGCTCCGGCCCTTCCCTCTCGAAAGTGCGAACACTCCATCCTCGCGTCCCCTTCGCCCCTCCTCTTCCAGGGACGACTTCCTCCTCCGCAATTTCTCAGTTGCTGCTTTGGCGCCCATTTCCTGTGCCTTTCCTTTCCCGCCTGAACCCGGGCCCCCCAGTCGCGGACCCCCTCTTGCCCCGCGCTCTCTGCCCCTGCGGGTGTTGGGATCCCCAACTCTTCGGCACCCCTCCCCCTGCTCCCCAAACTCGGCGCCCCTCACTGCGCACACCCTGACCTGGCCACCCTCCAACGAGCTCCCTTTCTGCACCCCACTCCGTGCGGCCCGGGAGAACTGCAAAGTGGGGTTCCCTCCGGCTTGAGGACGAGCGCCGCTCCGGCCCGGCCTGCTGCATGAGCTCATTGGGCACCGTTCAGAGAGGGAGGGGGATGCGGTAATGGTTGGAACACCTCACAGCACCGAATGTGGTCCTCAGAAATGCTGGGCCGTGTGACCCTTGGGAACGTGTCTTAGGGAGCAAACACAGGCACAGCGGGCGGGGGTGGGGTCCTCGTTTTGTTTAGTAAGGGCTGAGTTGTCTTTAGAAGTTTGTCCTCATTGGTGGTTTGGAAGAGAGAGACACACTGAGATTTTGTCACAAACTTTTTCCTTTATGGTATTTATAATGGGTGCTTAACGTTCCAGGGTGCTAATACATCAGAAAATGCGTTCTGAATAGAGAAGGAGGGATCCAAATGAAGAGTCTCATTCTAAATGTTCACTGAGACCAGGAAGGATTTTGCAAAAACAGCTCATATTATGCAAATAAAAATTAAATGTAATTTGTACGCATTTCCTGGATGTTTTAAGACTGAACCGCATAATAAAGCATATTTTAAAGTTGTAGGATTTGAGGACACTTTTTTTTAGAGGAAGGTAGGAAATCTGATACACTGTAATGTTTTGGGTTGTGGGTTTTTGTTTTTGTTCTTGGGGGTTTTTTTGAGATTGCATTGTCACCTGAAACTCACTTAAGCAAGCATTTTGCAATCTTCAGCAAGTACTCTGCTTGTGAAACGCAGTAATCCATGAGGGGGACTTCCCAAACATGGCTTCCCCTCACCAGCTCTAGCCAGCTTCCCTTCCCAATGAGATCAGCCTCCTCCTGTGAGTGAGGATTTTCCAACTTTTAAAGTTTTGGCTTCCATTCCCAGCTACACCCGGATTCAGACAGATGATAAGTGAACTGCTTAGCTTGCTCATACCTTAGTTTTCAACTATGTATGAAGTGGAAAGATAAGGCCAGACCCTCAGAGAGATAAAGCTTCCTGTTAACGTTTTGAGTTGTACAAGACCTAGAATTCCATGAAGAATTTTGTTTTTCCTTTTCGAGAAGCCTCTTTTAGTTAAAATAGGGTTTCAAACTTCTGATTCCTCAACTATAAAACGGGGTCATTATGATCTCTTAAGAGTCCTTCCAGTTTTACCATTGTTAAGATTGATTTCAAATTCCTTCCCTTGTCATCTCAGTCAGAGTTGAATCTTTAGGTATTTTGTGGTCCAAAAAAAAAAGCATTTACTAGTAGCTCTTGCTCTACCCTCTGAAATGAACACAATAAAAACATATTCTTTATGCCTTAAACTTCTAAAAAGTAGCGAATTGCAACTACAAGAAACATAAGTAGTAAAATTTTATTGTATCTAATTATTTCCCAAAAAGTTGCCCCTGAACTTATTGACAAGATAGTTAAGGATAATTAATTTGTTAGATTTTAAAGTCCTTTCTGCTAAATAGATCATTGTTTTTTAATGCCTTTGAGCACATGTAAATAATAATTCATTGTATATACATTATTAAAGCCAGACAGTACCTCTCCCATAATAATACAAGGACATTTAGGGAATGTTTACTGACAATGAGTCATGCTTTATTTTGTCTGGCTCTTTACCAAAGATATATTCATAAATACATACATATTTCAGTAGCTACCTCCAAATA